TATGGTTTAATAAATCTCCTATTTCTTATATAACACTTTCCATTTACATCAACCTGGTAAGCTCTGTCATTTAATACTTTTTTAACTTCACCTTCCTGCCACATACCTCTGGGCATTATTTGAACCATAACTCTCTCATCTCTATCTAATTTTCTCAAATTTCTTGTTCCTTGCCTATCATAATAATGTTTTTGTTTCTCTTGAGAAATTTTAAGAAAATTATTATATTGAGCACTATTATATAATTTTGACTTTAAATTTTTATTAGTTTGAGGTAACAATGACCTTAAATTTCGACACATGAGTATATTGGCAGGACTGTGAGTTCCGTCTATTGGTGAAATTCTTAAATCTAACAATGCTAAATAAGGGTCTTTCTTGTCTAGTATGCATTTTCGTAAAATACTTTTAGTCGTTTGTATAGCTCTTTCTACAGCTCCGTTACTTTGCGGATATCTGGGTGTGCTTTTTATGTGCTGAAATTCCCACTCGTTAGAAAACTTGGAGAACTCATAACTAGAAAACTCTCCTCCACCATCAGACATAAAAACTCTAGGTATACCAAAACGTGAAAAACAAGCTTTAAGTTTATTAATTACGTTCTGACTAGAAAGATCCCCATTTAAATTAGTAACATCCACATATTTGGAATAATAATCTATAACTAACAAATACGACTCATTAAACAAATGATAAACATCAGCTGCAACTTTGTTAAATGGTATATCAGGTATCTCGTGGGATATCATGGGCTCATGTATTTGGGTTTTTTGGTAAGTTCGACACAGATAGCAAGATGTTACTAAATCTTCTATTTGTTTGCTCATACTTGGCCAAAAAAAAGAAACACGAGCTTTAGCAGTACATTTATTCCTGCCTAGATGTCCATAATGTATTTTTTCTAAAATATGTTGCCTACTTTTTTTTGGAACTATCAACTTCTGCCCCTTGTACACAAGACCATTAATGACATTGATTTCACCTCGAAATTTATAATAAAACTTTAAATTGTTTGGAATTTCACCATAATTTGGCCACTCTTTTTTAACATATTGCATTAATAAGCTAAGTTCTTCATCTTCTTTTGTATTATTTTTGAGCTCCTCAATTCTTTCATCAGTTGCATTTAATTGCATGGAAATTAAACAGACTTGTGCATCTATTTCTAGATCTAAATTTTCATCAAATATTTTATTTTCAAATGCTCTACTTAGAGTATCGGCTAATATTAATTCTTTCCCCGGTTTAAATACCAATTCAAAGTCGTATTTTCTTAATTGTATTAATATACGTTGCAGTCTCGCAGGACAGTCATTAAGAGGTTTTTTTATAATATGAATTAAAGGGCGATGGTCGGTTTCTACTATAAAATGTTTACCATATACAAATTGAGAGAATTTTTCTATACCAAATTGAACACCAACTAATTCTTTTTCTATTTGACTATAGTTTTCTTGAGCCTGTGTAAAAGATCGGGAAGCAAATGCACAAGGCTTGCCCTCCTGAATCAAAACAGCACCCATTCCTTTTTTACTAGCATCTACTGAAATTGTAGTTGATTTGTTTACATCATAAAATTGTAAAAAATGACTATCACAAACCATCTCTTTAATTTTTTCAAATGCTGTCTGATGATTATTATCCCACACGAAAAGAACATCTTTTTTAAGTAAAACTCTTAAAGGTGCAGTTAGTTCCGACAAATTTTTAATAAATTTATTTATGTATGTAATACAACCAAGAAATCTTTGTAAGTCAGTTTTATTTTCAGGTCTAGGCATATTTTTTATAGCCTCTACCTTAGAACCATCTGGCTGTAAGCCCAATTCAGAAATTTCATGACCCATATATTTTACCTTATTAACTAAAAATTGACATTTACTTTTATTAAATTTAATATTGTAAGAAGAAGCTGTATCTAACACCTTTTTTAAAATTATATTATGTTTTTGAGGTGTATCAGCATAAATAATTATATCATCTGAATAAATGCTACAACCCTCCATATTTCCAAAGATTTCAGTCATATATTGCTGAAACACTTCAGGACTACTTGACAATCCATAAGGCATACGTAACCAGCAATATCTCCCCCAAGGTGTACCAAAAGTTGTTATTTTTGTGCTTTCTTTATCTAAAGGAACTTGCAAAAATCCTTGTGTTGCATCAAGGGTAGTAAAATATTTTGCTCCGGAAAATTTAATAGTTAATTCTTCAAGAGTAGGTATTTTAAAATAATGTCGTTTAACCCACTTATTTACTTCTATAGGGTCTAAGCAAATTCTTAAGTCCCCATTAGGTTTTCTCACTATTACAAAAGGATTAACCCACTCTGTACTTTCATTTACTTTCTTAATAATTTTTTGTTTTTCTAACCCACTTAAAACATTTTTTAATTTTGCTTGAAGAGCAAAAGGTATTTTACGAATTGGATGGACTTTAGGAATTGCTCCATCTTTGAGTTCAATTTTATACGGCTTCTTTAGACAGCCTATACCTTGAAAGATGAATTCATTTTTCTTTAATAAACAGTTAAGTTCTTCACTAAATTTCTTTATACAAACTGTTTTATCAACATTGTCTACTCTTTTTATTAGATCCAAATCTATACAAGTTTTTAAACCCAAAATTGGTACACTATTTTCTAAATCAACAATGAAAAAAGTAATTAAAAAAGTATTCTTTTTATAGTGACATTCCAAATCAACTTTTCCCAAAATTGGTAATGAATCTTGTGTATAGGAACACAAATTGACAGTAGTTTTAACTATTTTTGTAGGATTTATGTTAATTTTATACAATAAATTAACAGGGATAACATTTACCATTGCTCCTGTGTCTAGCTTAAAGTTGATCATATTTCCCTTCTCTAGATTCAATGTTTTTGACCACACCGACTCCCCAGAAGTTCCTGAGATACCATTTATTTGAGTAGGCTGATTCAGTGGTAAAACTACTTGATTTGTGACCTCCACTGTATCTATAAACAGAAAATTATCTTGAGAATCTGAGCTAGTATCACAAAAATTATTATCTATAAAATGAACATTTTTTTTATTTTGAAAATATCTACCATTATTTTGAAAAGAATTTTTCATAAATTTTTGATCTTTTGGTTGATTGTTGAATGCATTATTTCTTTTATTCTTATACTGAAAATTACGAGATTTACTTGCAAAATTAGAAGAAAATTTACAAACTGAGCTAAAATGATTAAATTTGTTACATAACTTGCATATTTTTCCTTTGGCAGGGCAGAGCTGTTGGCTCTCATGCTCATAGTTGCACCTCGAACACCTCTGTCTCGGCCGACTTCTGGACTCCTCTGAAACTCTCACGGCTGGTTTCCTTTGTATGGCATACACATTTGCTGCTGTATCACCTTGTCCATTACTTATCACCTTGTTTCGCTGCCTCGTACTCTCTGAACTGATGCACAGCTTTGTTAGATCCTCTAAGGTTTTGATTTGTTCTGACAACAATATCTTCTCTCGTAATGACTCTGAACTTATACCGCATGTTATTATATCTTTGACTAAAGAATTTTCCAAAATCTCTAACTCACATGAAAGTGCTAAGTTTTTCACTTCAACTATATAATTTTCTATTGTTTGTCCTTCTTTCTGCTTACACTTTAATAATTTATACCTTTCAAATGCTAAATTTCGCTTCAGGTTGAAATGGTCATCAAATTTTTCTATCAATTTTTCGAATTTGTCTACTTCATTTTCTTCAAACTTAAATGTGTTGTATATTCTTATACCTTCTTCACCTACGAATGTTAACAACTGTGCACATTTTGTCGCTTCCGGTTTTTTGTCCATTTCGGTAGCCTTTAAAAAAGTTAGGAACCTTTGCTTCCAGAAACGCCAATTTTCCGACAAGTTTCCCGAAAATACCATTGGGTGGATGCCTTTAAACTCCATTTCGATTGAATTATTGAATTTATATCGCAAAAAGTAATATGATTATTACAATAATTTAAAAACTTTTTCTTCATTCGCCAGTTCGCAGCGCCATGTGTTAATGATACGACAGTTGGTTGAACAATGGTTTATTAGTCATGTGTATGACTTGACATCTGACAAGGGTACGTTCCGTTACAATGTGGATTCTCAAACACGGCAATTGTTAATATAATAATATAACCTGCACAAAATTTAAGTATAAATATAAAACAATAAATATATTGACAATAACGTTAGGGAATTATTGTTAATTACTATAAAAGGCTAGATGAAGACAGACTGACAGTATGAATTTAAAAATTAATAAATATCCTTGCAAAGGTCACAGGCTTGTCCTTCAGTGGTTTTCTTTTATCTACTTATTTTGGATAATTATTAATTTTGTTTTTTTATCCAATACGCTAGTTTAGTGATGATGTAATTATGGTTCCACTGACAGTAGATTTTTGAGTGCGTTTTGTTTACCTGAATTATATCGTTTTTACACTTTTATAAATATATTCCTAAAGTAAGTAGATAACATGCATCAAATATACAATCGTTTAGTTACCAATTACATACCTTTAAACTATTTTTTATGACCTGTAAACAATATTTAGAAATAAACTAAAAACGTGTATGTCAAATTTATTGATGTTTTTGTTAAAAGTTTGGTTAGAACTAAATGTCAGTGGAACCAAAATGATATCACACTGAACTAGCGTATTTGTATAAATGTTGAGTATATACGCCTACTCCTCGACTGATGAAGGGGAAAAGTGAAAAGTACATTTAAATTTTGTATGGGAGTTGGTTCTGTAAAATAAATAAACAACATTTAAGTATATATTTTATTATAACATCTGGCTAGATGACCATAACAAGCTTTTGTATACATAATTATCTAAAATATAACATTAATGGTAAACAATATATATACCTACCATTTTTGAACAATAAATCAATTAGTAAAGCTATCGAATATTTGAAGTAGGAAATTATTTAAAGAAAACAATTTTCGTATCAAAAACTATATTCGGCAAAAAAATTAAATGGAAACTATTTTTTTGCATTTTGTAGACTAATGTACGGTTGTTAAAACTCTCAGTAGCTAATGATTCCATAACTTTAATAGACTGGGCATAATTTAAAGGTCATGTCATTTAGACAGATCATATTCTCATGCTGTTAGGCGCATAAATTGTAATGAACGTTGTTGCAACCCCTTCAAAAAAAAGCTATTTTAATCACTCACTTCAGTGTCACATTTAATCCTAAGAGTCAAAAACGTTTTATTAAAAAGAAGAGAATAACACAATTCTTTTTTTTTACTTGTCTAAGAAGTGCAAAAAATTTCTTATATACCGCGGGAATAAACTTATTTAATCCCTGATATATACATACTAACGTATATCCCAACAGTTTTTTTACAAAATATTTAATCGTACATTTTTGCAATAAATTTTTTTTAAAACCTAGTACCTAACAAAATTATTGACTTAAACTAAATGATTGAACACAATTTTCTGCGAACATTACTCGTTAGACCTTGGACAACTTGAACATATATTTCGAATATCTATCTAAAAATTCTACACCGTAGTTGTTCATTTTCGGCTTGCCACCCTCCATCAAACACATTGCGCGATAAAAGGGTCCAAAAATATTTATATTGAGCGGGCCTGAGGTAAATTTTGGTTGAAACCAATTTTGACTTGATTTTATACAATATCAAGACGATATAAGTCGTGCAAAACATATTATCGTCTCCAACGTGATGTTGGTGTACAAAATCAACTAAGTTAGTGAGGCAGTTATTAATATTATTAATATAACTTTCTAAATCTACAGCTTCGCCCTTATTCGCTCTGCATAAGGTCTACATATTGCTCTAGTCGAAATCGCACTTTATATTTCACATTATTTTGGGTACTCTTCTACTTTGTTCGTATAAAAACCATCGTTCCCTTTGATTTTCAAGTTTGCAAATGTAAAGTATTTTTTATCGTACATAACAATGATTCTCATTTGCAAAATATATCAGCTTTAGTTGACAGCATCTTGGTAACCGTACTTATTGATTTGGGATATATTTAGATACTTTCGTCTTTCTTACGTCTGACCATTTCTTGCTAATTTCTGCGATACTGTACTCTTTGAAATACGAAATTAGCGCTTTAATTTTCTCATGGAAACCCCTACTATGTATTTTATCTTATCAATCTTTCGGATTTTTATCGGATAAAAATTCTTAGTTCTCCACTTTTCGGGAGATTTAGACAACGTATTCTTTTTTCACATTCAACTATATAGCACGGTAAATACTTTGGTTTTGAAAAATGCGAACTATTCCAGGCTTAGGGATCCGTCCAAACAAATTATAAATTATTTTTCTAATTTTTAACTCACAATACATTGTAATGCATCGGACATTAAAACACTAATGTCAAAGAAATACAAAATATATAGAACCTTATATTTTGTGCCAAAACTATTGATATATACGTCCTTTTCTACGTTTACAATTTTTAATTTCAAATTTTTACTTATTTTGATTCACACTTATATTCGATTCTTTGGTTTCTATATTAAAATAATACTGACAATTCGAAGAAAATGTTATTTAATTTAGGAAATCGTGATGACTAGATCTTATGAAGTATATTATTATTTATGTACTAATGGCATTGTGTAGATGTTTATACGTACTTTGAGATGACTGTTTTAGGAGTCACCAAAAGATATAAACCTGAAGCAATATTCGTGGTGTATACGAAGTTTTACGTTTTACTAGTTCATTGTTGAGGGTAAGCTACGACCGTCAAATAACTTAGTTGCCAATATATGCTTGCAGAGAGCTCGGCATCCGAACATAAGTCATAACTTCTTCCCAAAGGTTATCACCAATCAGAGGATAAAAGCACGGTTCATTTTACCACCTCCAAAACACAATCCCGTATACTGTTAAACAAAAACACATCGAACATTGTCAGATTTCGCCAGAGTAGATCTGGCGAAATCTGATTTCCGTTATCATGTGCTATTCATGACAACTCCCAAGAAATTGGAATACCTATTTAGACACATTTCCATAATCTTCAGGTGTTTGTTTAGATGGCTATGACCCATTACGAGTCCTGATTCCATCCAGATGCTAATTTCTGTTTTGTTTTATTATAACCCTCGATAATGATCCTGGACTGGTATTTTATTAAACCATTCTTTGAATGATCTTTGTCTGATCCATATACAGTACGTTAACTTTCCAATGCAATTGAATATAATAATACATCGTCGACAGCGGACCGCAATATCCACTCCTTGTTATCGAGGCGCAGTTAAACGCCCAAATATAATTAAGCCTCTATCTTTATTTTGCTTTATTCGTCAGTTATTGTAATATCTGCAATAAGGAACCTTCTAACATAGATTTGCACACAGAAATTTTTCTAATTTCGACAAAATATTTACAAATAATTTGAGGTACATGAAGCTATAATTAAACATGTGGACGTTTAGGCTTGGGCTTTTTGAGACTGGACTGATATTGGCGTGAGTTATATGACTGGCAAAATAGGAAATTTAAAAAGATCTGATATCAATATATCTATCGAGCAAGCACAAATCACCACAACTAAAAGTCAGTGTTGACAGTAGCGAAATGTTTAGTAAGATTGGTGTCGTTAATTAAACAAGATAAAATAAATAAAAATTTAAGGAGACTGGAAATGGTGTACACACTAAACATCTCCAAATAAAAATATGTCAGTCTTGAATAACAATAAATAATTTTTAGTGAGTATTTTATGCTGTCTTTGGATTTAGTATGTACCTGGTCATCGAACAGATATATTATAGAATTGGCTGAATATTATTAACGAACTTTGAAATTTTCCAATTAAATCTTTAGATACATACAATTCATTTTTCTTAATATATCTTTTCGACAAGTTGCATAAAGAGGATTTGCTGAATATTTGTTAAAATTTATAGTAGAAAACGATAAATTCACTATCCTCAACGAGTCAATAACATTTTCTTACGCTTGTTGTGTTAGTTCTAGAGCCAACGTGCAGATTTGTGGCTTATTTTCAAATAAACCAAAACTTGGTCATAATTACTTAAAACGTTTGAGAGAAAAAAGACGGCGAAATTAGTGGAGGGTTTAATATTTCTTGTAATATGTCTAAGTGCCCCGGTCTGAAACTTATGCTTTCGTTAATTCGTTGGACACTTTAATAATAAATGGTCATAAGAAAATAAATCACGAATCTGCACATTGGGATTTAGGACTGTCATAAAAATGACAACTAGTTTTTGGTATATTTCTAAAATACTGTTTTCTTCTAGTTTCGAGCTAGCTTACAAGTTACTAAAGAACATTAAAATTTAACTCTAGATACAATTTCATTGCTTAAACATTATATTGAACATTACCCTGTATTTTTAATAGCATTCTCATTTATTAACAAAATTATCAATATCTAAAGCTCCCTAATAGATCTAAAAATGTAATTGAAAGCACGATAATGAGGAGTGGACAAAAACAAATTTCAGTTTTGCCCAAAAATATGAACACATCGTTTAAAATAAAAACAGGCCATATCACTTAATTTATTGGCTAATAGAGTCCACTTTGATAAATCTATATCTGATATAAGTAAGAAATGGGAGTGATAAGTGGCTAAATCCGGATATGTACAGTTTTCGTTCTCTGGTTTTTGTCCACTTTTCATTCCGATGTCTCCAATTGGAATAGATGATATATGGCATTTGGACGACTTATCTATCACAGGATTGTAACAAAACAGTAACATGATGTTAATTGTAAAGCTTTTATTTGGCAAGATCTGTTCCTCGACCAAGTGCTATACGTTTAAAAAATGAAGATAAATATATATTTGTTAAGCCTTAATTCTATTTAAAATGGCAATTTTCTTGAAGGCCGAAGACCTAAATGCGTAGAAGACCTAATATACCTAAAATAAACAACACAATAAATCTGATACATTCAAATGAAAACAAAGTTACATTTTTTAAATCCAAATTGACTCTGAAACATTAAAAATGGCTAAGTATCATTAATGTAAAATATTTTGTAAGGAGATGGATTGGCCTCACCTTGTGACAATATTGCAGGCAAGAAGAAAATGGGAAGATCAATAAATGGAGAGAATCGACAAAAAAAAAGTTGGAAATGAAAAATACGACGAACTCAAAATAAAACAAAAGAAAAAAATAGCGAAAATGCCACAAAGGTCAAACTACTGATAGTGCAGTACATAAACCGTCGGTTGGCGATATCAAGGACACTATAAAGTAACTTCAAATCACTTCCGGATACACCGGATTTTGACTACATCTTTATTATTTTTAATGATGCTTTATATTATTTTTTGATTAATTTATTCTGTAATATTTCTTCCTTAATTGTAAAAATTATGCAGTATCTTGTATACCGATTCATCAACTTAGTTTTTAAGAACGTGAAATTGAGATGGAACAATCTTTTTTATATATAACAGGCACTTGTAGGAATGATTTTTTGGAAATTCCGTCCGAAAGGGAAGTTGAACCACCAAAGTGCTAAATACGTGACAAATTTGTATTTATATCATAGATTTAATAATTTACTGGTATGAGTATATAGCTGAATATTGTTAACAATGTTAACAAGAAAAAACGTTTAAAAAACATCTTCATACACCGACATCAAATTTTGTAACTCTTTGTTGCTTTTAAGTGCACAAACTCTTACAAGGGAGCATTAAATGAGTAATTTTTCTAATTGGAATAGAGATGAACAGCTAAAGCGGCACCTTTGGCTGCATCACCACCGCTTGTAAATACCAATGGCAATTGATAAAGTTGTTGAACTTCTTTCTGTAATATTTTGTTTCTAGATAAACCAGATCCATTACCTACAATCCTATTAATTCCTGCATTCTGTAATACTTCTCGGGGTATCATGCTAAAAAAACAAATTAATTTAATACAAGTTCAAATTTTTAACAAAAATAAGCTCTATAAGGATAAGAATCTCTCTGATTTTGAAAAAAATACGATTAAAAATAGGGAGTTTAAAGGGGATTGAGATTGAAAAAAAAAAAAAAAAATAAATCAAAAATGAAAAGGGATATCATCATGAAATTTTTAGAAAAAAATCATGCTCTATAAGGAGATGAAGCTTATTTATTCAAAAAAAAAAAAAAAAAAAAATTGAATAAAAATTGAGTTAAGAGGGGTTGAAAATCTTAACTCAAAAACGAACAATAATAACTTGAATTTTAGCCTATTTGATTTTAAAAAAAATTGATTAAAAATGGGGAGTTACGGGGGTTGAAATTAAAAAAAATATCCTAATTCAAAAACGAAAAGTGATATTAACATGTAATTTTTAGTAAAACTCAAGCTCTATAAGAACATAAGAAGATGAAGCCCTTTGATTTTGATTAAATTTATTGGATACAAAATTTCTTCATAAAACGACTTTATGAAGATAATGGAAACTGGAAAAATTAAAATATTTTGGTATACCTCATCTATCTCATTTTTAATATTACTATGCGATTCAAAAGTAAGGAATAAATATATAGTATAGTTATCTGAAATTATGTCAAAAAGTGCGGAAAATAAAAACAAAATTTAATCCTTACTTTTAACTCGCACTGTACATTTCATCTCTGTAAAAAGTAATACCTACCTGTGCAAATTTTCGATCATTCCTCTACACAATGCTCTAAAGAGCTGCCCTAATCCAAGATTTCCAACATGGATGTTTGTAACAGATGCTGCTAAATCTGGATTATATCTTTCACCAAGACATGTCGGTTGAATAGTTAAATCAGATACGGCTGAATTTTCTATTCCAAGCGCTAATAATTTGTCCCAGACTTTAGCTGAAATATTTCATAAAAACGACTAAAAAATGTTTTAGATTTAACAAAAATAATACGATAATACGGATTTTTCGCATATTTATATAAGTATATTTATAATATAATATATTGATAATAATCGGAGCGGTAGCGTAGGTGTCTAACGCGCTCGCATTCATTTGCGACTAATTTTGTGGTAAGAGGCACACTTGCTTCCAATCCTACGGAAGATCACGTGAATTTATTTGCATGGTTCTCTATAGGATTTGATGGATGCAGAAATTTAATTATAAAAATTGCCATGCGTTACCGTTTCGATGATGGTGGGGTTTTCCTCTCATGTAAGTCAAATGGCACCACCGCCACGGCAAATAATAATAATAATAGCCGTCCCTTTCCCGGACAAGCTCAGCTTTTGGTGTAAAAATTCACTCGTAAAGGGGTGAATTAGAGACAGTATTATTATTATTATTAATTTTTTATTTATGTATCATTTTTTATTTAATTTCTCTGAATTAATTTTCAATTTTGCAAGATATGGACAATTTTTAGAGAAAAGTATTGATTTTAGGACACTTTTTAGTAATAATAATTATGTTGTTTCTATTAACTTATTCCTAACATTTTTCTTATTATTTCTAGCACCACTTGTTTTGAGAATTTCGCAACTAATCTCTTGACATAATTGCTTCTCAAAAAATCCCTCCAGTTTATAAGAAGAAATCACACACGTTGAAATCATAACCTATCCTAATTAAGCTCATAAAATGTAAAAAAATATAAAATAAACTTACATTGTGGTACACTAAAACCTAAATCCATAACCCACTGCTGCAACATTCTTACAAAAGTGGCTAACGTATTACCTCCATTCAAGGAAGCAGCAACTGCGACATATTGTTTATTAAAATAAGGCCAGTAATACAATGGAAGAACATCTGGAGGACTTTCACTTGGGACATAGTCTTCAATGACAAATGAAAATTGTGCCGAAGTGGATATGTTTAATACTGCATCCTGTAGTGTTTCCACTGTCGATAAAACAGAACATTGCAAATCTCCCATACCTACACCTAAAATTGGTTTAATTCAACATTTTGATAGTCATATTGTCTCATCCTCATAAATTAGATATAAAAATTGATTGTAAATTTTAAAAAATAATTATAAATAATTAACACTGCATATTTCTTATTAGCAACATTTTATTAAAAGAAATTGGTTCAAATTGTAATATTTGAAAGTGTGACATCTTCTATGTACAATTACTTAAAGACCACCCTGTATACAAATACACCATAAAAAATACAATTTTTAAATAAAGTTTTACCACAAATTTTTGTATTAAACTATTACTAATTTTGCCAATGAATACCTAAAAACCTCGTCTCGTAGGGAGCAAAGAATAATTAACAATTTAGTCTAATGATAATTGAAAAGGTTTTAAAGATATTTTCCGAGTAGAATTAAACAAAAAATGAAGCTTTAAAGTTATAATCACCTTATTATTTGCAATAGTAAGTATTCGCCATAATGTATTTTAAAAATTCCTGATTAATTAAAATTTAAAATAAACTTTCTAAAATTAGATAGCACAGATTGTAATAAATCAATTTGATTCTTTTTATCCTCATATTGGTATTACGTAAATAACTTTATTTATTATTTCATAAATATTTCAACAGGAGTTTTAAAACTAAACAAATTCTAAAATTGTACACATTTACATTTTTTCATTCTTCTATAGTCTATAGACGTATCAATACGGTTGTTTATTCTGGACATTTTTATTAAATTCGTTCTCAGTAAAGGGGGAGAATATTATTTATCAAATCACCCTTTTAAACTTCTTATTAATGTCGTCTTACCTACGGGCGTTTCCTGCGGTATACTATGCCAACAACCTGCCAATCTTCCCGCAATGCTTCCACTAGAACTAACTTCAGGCAAAAGGTCAATTGGAAAATTTGCTTCTTTCAAAAGGTTTGAATTCCAGGTGGATGTTCGACAATTAAAATAACCCCAACTAGCTGCCATCTGATAAGACATAACTGGTTTGTCGAGATTGCAAAGCATAGCCACAGCAAAATCTGCTATAGTACCCGAACAGTTATATTTTTTTAATTTTTCTGGTCTAAAATTATTAAAAACGTTTATTAGTGATGGTAAATGTTTAAGTTTAATGTATTTTTTAAATCCTTCTACTATATAAATGCGAAAGAGTGGATAGATGTTTGTTGCTCAATCACGCATGAACGTCTGAATGGATCTGGATGAAATTTGGCAGATATAGATTATAGTCTGAAATATCTTATAGGCTACTTTTTATGCGGAAAAAATGTACGGTTCCCGTGAGATAGATTTGTCTTTGTTTTTCACAGGGTAAGGGATCAGACATGCTAAATAATGACGCGTTTCAGGGTATTTGGATTTTCACATTTTAAGGGGAGGAAACGGGGGGTGAAAATTTGTATGGAAGTATATGGAATTATAGCTACTCATCACAGATAAATAATAACATTTTTCAAGATTTTTGGATTTTCATATTTTAAGGGGGGGAATTTGTATGGGGGTATCGATTTTTTAAAGATAGGAACTTGAAAATCGGAAATGCAGCTACTCATCATAAATAAATAAACATGTTTCAGGGTTTTTGAATTTTTTCATATTAAGGGGGGAAACGAAATGTGAAAGTTTGTATGAGACTTTCGGATTTTTAAAGGTAGGAACCAGAAAATTGGAAAAATTAACAAAAATCATGCATTTAATGTAATAATAAAAATTAATTTAATTGATAGAATTTGAAAAGAAAATGTACACTATTGCATGAAAAAATTTCTCTCAAATAACAAAATAGTATATTACATTACGAGTGTGGAAAATCACTTTTCACACAAGTGATATTTTTCCTACTACCACAAAATAATTTCATCAAAAAATGTAAAACCAGGTTATTATTATAATAATTCAAATGTATTTAAAAAAATAATCAACAATAATCGTATTTATTCAATTTTCATATTTTCTAAACAAAAAAATATATAAAATAAAAAAAAAAATAAAAAAAACAAAAAAAATAAAAAAAAAAACAACAAAAATTCTGGCCCCGCCAGGATTTGAACGCGGTCGCTCGCCAGGTCTCAAATGGCAAAGTTGATAAGTTTGACGCTGTAACCATCTGAGCTAACAGGCCGTACGTCAATTGAATGATCTAATCTGTTTATGTGTTTAACAAGAATAAAGACCAAACATATCTTAGTTATTTTAATAATAATTGTTAAAGAAATATCTAGAATCTAATTTACAACAATTTCAATAATTTAACAATCATATCGATTTTAGTATTAATATGGACATTACATAGATCAAAATAGTAATGATATGTTTGACATTTTGTGACAACTGCTGCGGAAAGTAGCATATTCGTACACGGGTGGAAAGTAAATTCTTATTCATGCGCGTGTGATATAGGGCACTTTCCATAGGACTATATAGTGTGATATGTGTCACTTTCCTAAGTGGTCGTCGGAAAACTTCTATTCACTTTTAATAATTGAGGTAGTAAATAATAAGTGTAGAAAAATCTGTTAATTTTATGAGTGTGTATAACTTAATTTTGTCCTATTAATTTTAATATTTTTTTCATTATATTCAAATATAGATTCGGAAATTCAAACGCGGACCATATCAACCAAATCTGTTCGGGACGAGCGTAAGTAAGTGGAATTCATATACATATTAGTAGTAGGTATGAATATTAAAAAATATATTCAAAAAGTGGGGCTCCAATATAGATATCGTATTTACCAAAAAAACCTACACTTTTTTATTCAATATTTAAAAATATTTATTAGACCTATCCTTGGATCCAGCTATTTATAATGGTGATATTACCTGTTCAAATTATCAAGTAACAGTCCAACTTTTCTAATTGTATGCCTGTAGTTGATTTGAACATGAAGAGAGTAAATTCACAGAAATATTTTGCAATAATCAACCTCAAAGTAAACTATAGACGCGTGTTTTCAAGATACAGGGAAATTAAAGAACTGCCCTCTATTAATGTTTAAATCAACTATAATTGATAGCAAAATAAAATACTTATAAATAGAAATTATTTTTACTAACTTGTTTTTTGTCATCCAAAACATTGTAGCAAGACCGAATCCTGTAGAAATATTTAAATGGGATTCGGGAACAGGTAGAGTTGTCAAAAAATTTGGATCACATCTGTTATCTTGCCATGTGTAAAGAGCTGACACTCTGTTCTGGGTTACATCATATCTGACTGATGTGTCCTTTTCGAGTATTTCCCAAGCTTTCTTTTCGTTCTCATTCTTCCAAAACATTATTCCATGCATTTGACCACATATTCCAATTTTTGATACCTATAAAATGATTAAGATGGAACAAGGACAAAGTAATGAATTGCTGTTAGTTTTGATTTATTCATCAGGATACCATGGACCATCAGTTGATAGATAATTAAACTCTAGCTGATTTTGAGTCAAAACGACTGGCTGGTTTTAGAGCTATGCAGAGCAAACCAACCAATGGTGCTTACAGACAACCGAACAGCTCTTGGTCGGATTATTATATTAGCCATACAACCCCTTATGATTTTGCTGAGGTTTTAAAACAAAAAAAGCAAGAAGTAGAAGTCTGGAACGTTTCTTCCAAACGAGATGAGACGCTTTATACCAATACGGCAGGCACCACTCTAAACAACAACGACATCTTGGAACACGACCCCAATCGCATTTTGAACAAAATGTCTTACGATATCAATGATTTACTAACTCTCTCCAGTTCAGTGGGGCTAAAGAGATTTAATAGTACTTTTAAGAAATCGATTTGACTGTATTTTCTACGTTGACTGATAAAGATCTTATTGAGATTGGCATCAATACTTTTGGAGCTCGGAAGAAAATATTGCTGGTGATATCAGAATTGAACCAGAAAATTAACTCATTTTCGGCTGCTCCAGGAGCCGAAGGGAAAAAATCCTCTCTAACAGCTTTCAGTTCATCGGCAAGTGAAAAATGGTAGCCCAAAATGACTGTAATGTTTTTTAAAATAATGTTAATAGATATACAGTGTGAGGCACCGAAAACGAAACAGATCGCATATCTTGAAGACACATTTTTATTTGGAGAAAATGCAAAAAGATGTCGATTTTTATTTCAAAGGGGACATCATATCCTCAACTATCCTACATCCCTCCCCACCCCTCTGTCACTATTACCAATGAAATTGAAATAGGGAAAGTACTAAGTGTGACACATCATTGAAAAGGTAATTTTATAAGGAATTTGACTGTGTGACAGTTTATTACGTAACTTTTGATTTTGGCGCCATCTTGCGGGAAAAGTTTCCGTATTTTAAATAATGATACTTCATTTGAAAGTAAAACTCATTTAATAGACAATTCATAATAAAAATAAAAAAATAATAGAAAAGTGAACATAAAAATTAAATTGAAAAATTTAGGACAACTCCCATAATTAAAAACTAAATTACTTCAAAGTAAATGCTCAAAGTGTTGTCCATTAACTTCCATACACGAATATAAATTATTCTCAAATCTTTGTCTGACGTTTTGGAGCATTTCTGGAGTTATTTGACGACATTCGGTAATAATACGTTCACGTAACTCTTCTAAGGAATCTGGCTGAGTGGCGTATATTTTACTTTTCAGATATCCCCATAAAAAGTAATCTAAGGGGGACAGATCAGGTGATCGTGGGGGCCATTCAATAAATCCTCTTCGTCCAATCCAATGTCTAGGAAAGTTTTCATTTAAGTATTGACGAACCGCTGCAGCAAAATGTGGAGGAGCCCCGTCCTGTTGAAATATTAGGTGATCTTCAAAGTATCGGTTATCGTTTTCTATTATGTCTGTTAACAGTGGATCAACGGTGTTTTCAAGTAATTCCAAATACATATCCCCAGTTAAAGTACCTGGTAAAAATAATGGACCAACAATACGATCGCCAAATATTCCAGCCCAAACGTTTAACTTTTCTGGGTGTTGAGTATGCGTTTCATGAAATACTCTTGGATTGGAATCTGACCCTGTATCGACAATTATGTCGATTGACAGTCCCGTTAACATAAAAACTGCATTCATCTGAAAAACAAATGTTATAAAGTAAAATGTGGATCTTGCTCGCTCATGATTTCACAAAATTTCAAGCGGCGATCAAAATCGTCTTCGTTAAGTTCCTAAACTAAATGAATTTTATAGGGATGGAATTTGTTGGCTTTCAAAATTCTCCTGACGGTACAGTCACTTACTCCAGATAATTCTGCAAGCTTTCTTGTACTAAGAGTTGGATCTGCAACAACTTGTCCTAAAACGGCTACCTCTACGGCTTCGTTTCTTACTGGATTTTGAATCTGCCGTTTTTTATTTTGAACAGATCCTGTTTGTTTGGGTGTCGCTCATTGAAAATTGTACAGGCAGTGTTAGCACATTCGTTATTTTTTAAATAACATTCAACAATTTCTACTCTCTCCTGAATAGAATAAACCATTTTTATGTTGCTAAACTAAAAAACAGACCTGGTAGTTATGGAAATAAAAACCTTTATTTATTTTACGAAAACATAGGCGTAGTAAGTTCAATTTTATTCCAAAGGTAATTATGCATTAAATTTTTAAATTTGGCTTTCACATGACAATACGCTTATTTGAACTGTCACATGTCACACAGTCAAATTCCTTATAAAATTACCTTTTCAATAATGTGTCACACTTAGTATTTTCCCTATTCCAATTTCATTGGTAATAGTGACAGAGGGGTGGGGAGGGATGTAGGATAGTTGAGGATATGATCGAAGGATGTCCCCTTTGAAATAAAAATCGACCTCTTTTTGCATTTTCTTCAAAAAAAATGTGTCTTCAAGATATGCGATCTGTTTCGTCTTTGGTGCCTCACCCTGTATATTTTTGCTTCAAGCAATGATTCGCTGTTTAAAAAAATCTTTATTACTTACAATATATTTATTTAGGCCTATTTAGAAATTTAGTATATTGATAATTCATTATTTTAAAAGGTTGGTTTAATTTTGTTATTTTTTCCGAACTTTTATCTTTGAAATATTGCTTTAGTTATTAAATAAATAATGACTTCTAAGTTTTGAAATCTATTGGCAGAATATTATAATAATTTCAAACTGTTGACCTCGACCATTTTTAATCCCAGTTGTATTTTTTTCTATTAAAAAATTGGAAGAAAAATATGTGAGAAAGAAAACTCATATAAATAATAATTTTGGAGAATTATGTATTTATTAATAAACAGTATCACCGTTAAAGTTTACAGCTTACGCAAATTAAAATTTTTAACAATTTTGCTTCGAAAATAATAAAAAATGTTTACGATTTTTTTCTATTAATCAGTTGTATTTGAAATATTTTCCAAACAATTACAATAAGTTATTATTGTCAAAGTCATTTTTTTTTATCTTTGAAGCAAACAGTGTTTACAAATTGTAAATTTGCAGACCATTTAGTCAAAATAAAATGAAAAATCTGATGACAAAAATAATAAATATAAATTGAAAATCGTATTTTTTAAAATTTTTATTTTATAATCAAACATACAGGGTGATTCATAACTATTGGGACGTAGGCTAAGGGCAGGGTATTTGTACCAAATTATAATTAAATTATTTCTGTTCTTCTGTAGCCAAAACACCCAAGTTACTTATAAATATTTAAAATTTTGATGTATTATAAACTGCTTTCCAAAATTTTCCCAAATTGTTATTCTCGAAACCATCTACTTTAATTCAATCGATTCAAAGCCACTATAAGCACAAGATTCTATGTCAAAGAAGCGTAGATATATGTAGATCAGGCCAAATGACAAAGTGTAATTGATGATGAAAGCCACGGAATTTATGTAGTTTATTTCTTGCTGGTGAGTCCTAACAAGGACGAAACTGGTTCAATGATCTTCTTAGTAAGCAAAATCAAAGTTAGTGTTCAAAATAATTTTATATCTTAGCTATTTTCAATGCCTGTTGCGGTAACAGCTAAAGGAGTTCTTTTCCGTAGAATAATTCATTTTTTATTTATTTCATTTTACATTTTGGAAAAATTTTAACTGGATTTTTTTTTTGTTTTTTTAATTTATAAATTTTATTTTTTTTTTAAATAACCCTGTATTCTCATGGAGTAGAGGCCGGATCTTATTCAAGGTAAAAAAAATGACTGAAAAAATCAACGAAGTGTCGGTTCCGTTTTATACAAATTCCGTGATAAAAACCTACAAATTATTTCTTTTTTTTTTACACCAAAATTGGTAGACATGGCATACAATTTTAATTTCCAAAAATAAAATAATGTAATGTTTGTTTATTTTAAAACAACAGTTTATTTATTAATAATTTATTTAAACACTTATTTATTTTATAACACTACTATTCTAATTTATATTGTTAGATTCGTGCAATATTCAAGACGCCGCCACTGCCTAAGCCATACTTGTATCTTGGATATTGGATACACACACATACGCACTCGACGAGTGGAAGACCGAAAAATCGAAAAGACACTTATAATCGACGTGGGTTCATATGCACACGTCCGACGCCCTTTGAATTTTAATTAATAACGATTGTTAATAACTTTTTGGGTATTAATACATTTTATAAGAAGTGATTCAGTGTTTAATTTGGTGAATGTTTATATTTGAATAAAAGACGTATTATTTTATTTAAAAAAAAATCCAATGGCTTGAATAAAATATAAACTAATAATTATTAAAACAAAAACGATCAATTAAATCTTAAATCAGAAGTGGGATAGTGTTCACGTTACACACAGACTAAAACAAGGGTATCATGGATGATTTCATCGCAGAGATGTTGCAGTTTCAAAAACAGCAGAACAACTCCTGTATTATGGATGATTTCATCGCAGAGATGTTGCACAGTTCCAAAAACAGCAGAACAACTCCAGATCAAGTTGATTTCCTCTTATTTTGGTTAGATACCGACAATTCTAAGGTTTGGTTACAACAGTTTGAAAAGATAAAGAGAAATTTGAGTGGTAAGACCTGCAGATACAGGTAAGAGTTGAACGCTTTTTATTGGGCGATGCTAAAAAAAAAATATGGTTTGAGAATTGGTCTCCAACATTAAGAGATTGCTTTAATTTTAAATTTGAACTTTTAAGAGTCATTTTCACACAGAAAATGGTAGTTTCTTATTTTGACAGCTCACTTTTTAAATCTTATACAGCTTACGTGCATAAAAAAAGGATTGCTTTATTGAAACAAAAAAAAAAATAATAATTTTAAATTTGAACTTCATTCAGTCATTTTCACATAGAAAATTGTTTGACGATTATTTTTTGAAGTCTCTACTTTTGACAGCTC